CCTCTTTCCGCTTATAATCCTTGCTATCTCATGATTTCAACACTTCTTATTACGTAACTGTTATAATGTTTTATGATGATTATTTTAAGTCTAATTTATTCACGTTTGATCTACTACTTTCAATGTTGAACTACTCACAAACACTTTTGTTATCGTAATTTATTCGTACCCCTATCAGTACACTTGTCTTCCTGTCAACAACTTGTACTTTTATCCACTTTGTGTATCTGTGTCATGTGATCATTAACTCAGACTGCCTTAATCGGTTTGACATTTTCATGTGAGTATTGACGTGTATTGGAATAAAACTTGATGACAACCTAATTGACAATAATATTGTTCGCTTACATGTGTTGTTCTAATAAACTGCTAATTTTAACTAAACAATGAACTCTTTCCCTTTTTTAAGTAGGCTTACAATTTGATTATAAACATTATTTGTTTTTACACACTGAAATCATCAATCCAATCATTGGTAGACCGCAATTAGGAACCTGGAAGCACTGGACAGCTGTTCCGTCCTGGTATGGGACTCATCAGCAGTGAACATCCATACCAGGACGGAACAGCTGTCCAATGCTTCTAAATTTCTAATGTTGGTCTAACAATAGTCTTCATAACTCTAATTGGAAAATCATTATTTCTTTATTGATTTTTACAAATGATTGATTTTTTCGAAATGTTTGAACTTTATTCAAGTTGTAATTAATATATCTTGTTGTGACTTCAGTTTTCCATGTCTACATCATTTGAATTTTCAAATAAGCATCGACAGTAAAGAAATGCATATGTTATAATATCTACTTAAATGATTTATCTTTTGTCACCACTATTCATTAATAGATGAATTATCTATAAAGGGCAGTTGTTATTAGTTTTATTACCTGTCAAGGTTAGTGTAGACCTTAATATAGTTTTTCAAAAATTAAATTGTTCAAATCAGTCTACTGGAAATCAACATTTACCAAAAAAAGCAGCGATAAACAGTTGTGTATATTAAGGGCAACCATATTTATTTACAATTTTGATACAGTATTTTTTTTCTTGGATTCACATGAGAAATAAGCATACCATGTTAACTAGCTAAATGACCTCAATTTGTTATATTGATATTTTTATTGTTTTGTGATAGGTGAAGGCCAAACAAAATGTTTATACCATAGAAGTAACTTCTTATTAGGATACATTATGAAACAAAGAAATGTAACTGGTTTATGCGCCGTTATCCTCTCCTTAATAATGGTGATAAATATATGTTAGAAGTCGATTTTGAAAATTAATGACTTATGGGTTATTTGTCTTATTTTCGGATGTTATGAGTGTATAAAAAAGTACTTTTGATCTTAAGGATATGGTATCAGTTGATGAAGAGTCATTCACAGACTGAACCCTACGAAATCATTTCATATTTCAACTTGGAAGCCGTACAAATTCACAAGAAACTGTTGAAGATGTTAAGTAGCCTAGCTGGAAATTGATAGCAGTGGTATAAATCTATTTTTCCTTTATATTCCCATAAGTTCTTTTAAAAAACATTGCTCAACGCTATCATTTTCCGATTTCAGTCGAACGTGGTATGAACTAGACTTTCTCGTTGAGATTTACCATCATCGTTCATTCAATTATTTCAACTCTCCTGATCTTTATTACGATAATTCGTCCACTTTGTAGTTTTTTCAATTGTGACAACTTGAATAATTGTATATTGTGTTGTTTCTGCGTAGGTTCTACCCGAAGATGATTGGATGAAATGTTTCCTGGATGTTTCTGGGCCTCTACAAACTTTTCCAAGGTCTGTTTCAGAATGCTTCAGCACTTTCAAATACTTATAGAACAATACTAAGTGAAATCCTGGCATATATTTTTAAATAAAATCGCCAAAAAACAAACTCTTGTCTACTTAGTTTACAACTGAATACTCTAAAATTATTTTACTACTAATAGAAATGAATATATCTTTAATTTACGGTCATTATTAAGACACCTTATACTTCGTTTTAATATGCTCAAATTGATAATAATGCTACTTTATATATCGCTGAATATTATTTATATAATAATGATCGATACAAAATAAGCATCAATTTATATGAGGCAAGTTGTTGTAAAATGGATACAGTACTGATATTATTATCAGTAAATTATTTAAAAAATATGAAATTGATAAATTGTTTTAATTGAACATTTTTTGCACATGGATATTTATTACATAATGTATGATGTGTATGATGTAAACAAAATACACAAACAGTATAGAACTAGTTGGATGCATTAGCTGATCATCAGTAATTTCTTAGTACTAGAACGCTTTGTTTAAAAGTGAATATTGTAGTCAGTCAGTTAGTCAGTCAGTCAGTTACAACGTATATTTTCGTATGTACGTACATACCTCATTAGCACAGAGACGCAACTCTCAGTTCAAATCCCATGGTGGTGGAGATAGTAGAAGAATTAGCGGTAATGGAGAATTTTAGGGATCGAAGATATTATTCAAGAAGGATAGTTCAATGAGATAACTTTAGAAAGAGAAACATAGAGATCATAAGGAATTCTGAAGATTAGAATTTCAGAGAACACAAAGAGTAAATGCATCTGCGCCATTGCAGACGGTTTTGAGCCATGTAGTTCTAGGTCTCTAACCATTGGCGACTGTCGTCTTGCGGACCACAACCAGGTAGTCTACACTTACCAACATGACTCAATCCAGTTGTCAATGACTTCATGGATTTCTACCGTGTTTTGATCTGGTCGCCTCTACCTTTCTTCCAACCTACTCCTATAGCACAAAGCAGTCAGCGGTTGGGCATTCGTAACACATGTTCCAGACACATCAAATGATAAAGTTTCATTACTTCATCTATTGACCTGCCATCCTTACCTAACTCTCATTTCTTAACAACAGCATCGCTTACTCGGCTGTTCCAGGATACACGAGCAATGGTTCGAAGACATCTATAATCGAATACTAATAAGCTACAAATGTCCTCAACTCTTACCGGCCAAGTTTCGCAGACATAAAGCAGGACAGGGCGAACTGTTGAGCAGTACACTCATCCTTTGGTTAGCAAACGAATATCTCGCCTGCGCCACAGGTGACGCAAGTTGGCAAAAGCCAATCGAGCCTTCTGTATTCGTGCTGGGATTTCGTCAGTCAGCACTGATGAGACTCCTGAGATAAGTGAAGCGGTCAACACGCTCAAATATTGTAGTGGCGATCAATTTATACTTTATTTAAAATAACTAATTAGTTTGTAGCATATCCAAAGTGTAATCAAAATTAAAGTTGGAAATATTTAGCAATTCAATACAGTTCTAAAATTAAATGAACAGAACTAACTCATTGTTGATTCAACAAAATTATCATGAATTTAGAATCAATGACAAACCAATGATCAACGATATAAATGATAGGTCAAAAAAAGAATTTCTACAAGGTTTAAATACTATATATTTTTCAAAAATTCCCTAGCTACTGTTTGTATCCTGACTCATTATTTTTACTTAACTCTATTGATTAGAGTTTGAATTGTTAGTATACCACGTCGCCAGTATTTTTTTTAAATCAGATTTTCTTGTTCAATAAAACTAACTCAAGAAATATTGTTAAATGATCAACTTATTTCAAAAATTTTAAAATATCACTGAAATTAAGTTTGCCGAGTACTCACTAACTTACTTACGCCAGTTGCTCCCATTGGAGCGTAGGCCACTGACCAGCATTTTCCAACCTACTCTGTCATCAGTCTTCCTTTGCAGTTCTGTCTAATTTTTGTGATGTGGTCAACGAAACTAATA